GCTCTTGGCTTTTTCTTGGTCAAGGGCTTTTCTAGCAGCGGTTAGTTCTTTTGTTAGTTCGCCGATTTTTTTACTTTCGGCTGTGTCGGCTATTGGCTGAACATGGCTTACAGCCGCCTTCTGATTGGTTGCTTGGATCGTTTGAAGGTTTGCTAAACTCGCGCTGATGATTCTCAGGTCGGATTGTATTTCCTTGTCAGATTTTTTCTGAGATTGGTGGAATCTGGCTACCTTCATGGGGATGTTTGTGAGCTGGGATTCACGCCAGTCCATTTTTGCGTCTTTGAGTGTTTGGCAGCCCTGGTATTTGGCGCTGTGGTTGCCTCCACAGTTGGCGCATTTTCTTTCCAAGTTGCCGACTTTGTAATTATTTTTGTTGGCATTGGCTTTTTCACAGTCGCGGTGCCAGTGGTTCATGCTGCAGTACTTACAAACCGGAAGTTCTTTCCGGCAGCTGGTGTGGGAGTGCCCGAAGACCTGGCATTTCCGGCATTGAATCAGGGGTGGAATGAACTTCTCAAAGTATTTTTTTCTTCCTTGGAAGTTGATACAAGCGGGGATTTGAGTTCCTGCTATGGTGATCTTAACTAGCCAGGTCGGGTCCCCGTTGCCTTTCTTGATCCGTTCTACTTGAATGAATTCAAGATCTGGATTTCCGTTTTTCATTTTTTCGGTGATTTGATCTGCGTCGAGTTTTGGGTTAATGCCCTTGACGGCAATGGCGACGGAATCCCTAGCAAGTTCTACCGCGATTTTAATGTTGTTCATACACGTGAAAATTTTCTTTTCTGTCGTGTTCTTGAGGCCTTCGATCAGGTCCTTTGTGGCCGCAGTGCAATTTAAGATGACAATCAGGAGTGCTTGGTGGATTATCACTCTGGCATATGATTTGAGACCGACTTTGAATCCAAAATCCAGGATTTGTTTTGCCTCGCCTGGTTTTGCCTGAAAGATTGACATTTCTGGGGCTTCTAATTGTGTAATGTTCAATCTGACAGTTGTTCGGTTGGCTGGCGCAAGGGCAGGGGCTTCGGGGATGATTGGCAGGCCCTTGCCCCTCCCTTTGGTGCGTGGCTCTTGAGGAATGGCCACTCCTCGCGACACTTTGTCGGCGTAGCTTGCCGTCACGACCGCCTCACTGGGCGCGGCTACCGATGTCGTAACAGGAGGAGCGGCTTCCTGCACCGGCGGTTCTACAATTGTTTCTTTATTAGCAGTGATCGGCGGGTCCTTCCCAGCGGGCATCTCTGCGAGCTTTTCAGGTTCGGTCGATTTGGCCCGCGAGCTGGCCCTCGTGTTCCGAGTCATAATTGTTTATAAATTAGTTGATTGTTTTTTGGAGGTTGAACGTACGCCCTAAGTCGCGGTTTAAAGCGTTAGTGAAGTAGTTTATATTTACCTAGGGCGTTGTTCCTTCCTCTGGTGATCCTCGGCTCGGTATGTTCCAGTATACCGAGACTTCTTGTGATGTCCTTGGAAAATATAACACTGGTCACCTGTGTAGATCGTGCTGCTTGGCAGCTAACCAAGCCCGACCGTTCACCGAACCAATTCAAGCGATCGATACCTTTCCTCGAGTAGCCAGCCGGACAGATCAAGCCGTGTAGGAACTCAGCGATCTATGTCCGTGCAATGGCGTACCGATTCTGGCAGAGTCAGCCGAAAAGGTCTGAGCGACTGAGTCTGGATGGTAAGCAAACCTTGCTACTGGATCACAGAGACTAGTAGCAGTGGGGCAACGAACTCCCACTACTACACTCGATTACAAAATGGTGCTGTAACTGGCTACTGAAACTCCACCCGCAACGCCGAATGTCAAACAACCAGTCAAGACAGACTCAGCCGAATATCAAGCGAATCGGTGTCAAGTATCTGATTATCGAGAATCGGGCTACGAATGGAGAGACAGCGTTCAAGCGTAAACGAGAGGTGCGTTCGTGTGGACAGTCTGCGCTCGAATGATGAAGTTCCCAAAGTGTAAATAAAACGATTTTTAAGAGACTAGCTTCAAATGCCTGATGTGCCACTGATGTGTGAAAGGATGTTTATTTCTTTTTTGGCCATCTCAAGCAACACACTCCATGTTCTTTAGATTGTGTTCACCTTTTACTCTAATTCTTCTCTGCTTGTTTTTGTTTGTCTAGACTTATTTCTTTAGGCCTTGTGAGTTTCAATGCAAGGACAGACTATACTCGTATTAGAATTTCTCAATGTGCATCCAGTCTGATACCAGGTGGTCTTTCCCCACCTCTTCATTTAATGGATTTTATTTAGTTCTGAAAGCTTCACGTTAGTGATTCTGTCATAACATTTATGAATATTTTTTACTATCCACAATTTGCTTATCAGTTTGTTTTTGTTTCACTTTTTCTGCTCTTGTATACAAAGGATTTACTTTGTTCGTTTTAAATTATGTTAAGCAATCCATAATTGCATGGTCTTCATAATATATAAATGCAAACAGGTTGAAGCATTAAATGGAATATATTCCCCAGGGTCTCATTGCATTCTGTGTACAGGTGACTTTCCTTGATCAAATGCACTTTTTATTTACTTCATGCACTTTATAAAGAATTGTTTGTCTGTTAGTTGCAGTGTTTCAGCAGTTACAAATCATTTCTTTGGTTGCAGCAATCAGAGATCAAACACAAACAAGAGGTGCCAAATGATGGGTTCATTCAGGAGGACAGTAAAGAGGAGCTGGATCCGCTGGAGAAGAAAGGTCTGGACGGCTTGTTGAGTTTCATCAACGGGACTGACAGAGAGGGCACAGAGAAGGTCACAGATAAAGAGATAACTGCTAAAGCTGCAAAGCGGGCTCGGCAGAAACAGAAAAAGGTGGGCTTATTATTGTAACTAAGCTTTAGTTTGTTAATTGAACTGTCTGTGTTTTTTAAAGGTTCATCATTATAGCGTTTAAAAATGTTTCCATGCTTTGAGACATTTTGAACATATGGTGCTAGTTCCATGTTTGTATAGAGACCATATATCTTTCAGGTGATAATGCCAGGAATATCTTATCAGCCACCTTTATTTCCACCATTTCCTGGTAACAATTTTTTAGACCAAGTCAGTCAGCCTCTGTGTGTCAGTTTAAAAAATCCTGCTTCAGTAAGTCAAGAAACAAATACAGTACATTGGGCCAGTATGCAAGCATACATCAATCAATCAGGTGCAGTCTCCACAATGAAGGTTGGCTGCAATGGATCTCCAACAAGCCCTGTCTCTTGCCCTTGATGTACACTCACTCATACTGCTGTTCGCCCATCTCTTGATGTTATCCTCCCACTTGTAACGCTGTCTGCCTTTTGCTCGCCTACCTTGAACCTTTCCCTCTAGGATGATCTTTACAATACTGTTATGTCTTTTAATGTGGCCAAAATATTTCACTTGTCTCTTTTTTATTTCACCTAGCAACTCTGTTTTCATTCCCAATTTCCTCAGTACCTCTGTATTTGATAGCTTTTGTTTCCATGAAATACGACCTAATCTTCTGTATATCCACATCTCCAAAGAATTGATACGATTTTCCAGTTGTTTGTTAAGCATACATACATACCCCAGCTTCCACATCGAAATCATACCCCAGCTTCCACATTGATGTCTACCCCAGCTTCCACATTGATGTTATACCCCACCTTCCACATTTAAATTATACCCCAGCTTCCACATTGATGTCATACCCCAGCTTCCACATTGATGTCATACCCCAGCTTCCACATTGATGTCATACCCCAGCTTTACCCATACCCAGCTTCCACATGATGATGTGATGTCATACCCCAGCTTCCACACTGAAATCATACCCCAGCTTTCACATTGATGTCATACCCCAGCTTCCACATTGATGTCATACCCCACTCATGTCATACCCCAGCTTTCACATTGATGTCATACCCCAGCTTTCACATTGATGTCATACCCCAGCTTTCACATTGATGTCATACCCCAGCTCTCACATTGATGTCATACCCCAGCTTTCACATTGATGTTATACCCCAGCTTCCACATTGATGTTATACCCCAGCTTCCACATTGAAATCATATCCCAGCTTCCACATTGATGTCATACCCCAGCTTCCACATTGATGTTATACCCCAGCTTCCACATTGATGTCATACCCCAGCTTCCACATTGATGTCATACCCCAGCTTCCACATTGATGTTATAGCTTCCACCATACCCCAGCTTCCACATGTCATACCCCAGCTTCCACAGTGATGTCATACCCCAGCACATTGATGTCATACCCCCACATGATGATGCTTCCACATTGAAATCATACCCCAGCTTCCACCACAGCTTCCACCTTGAAATCATAACCCAGCTTCCACAGTGATGTCATACCCCAGCTTCCACATTGAAATCATAACCCAGCTTCCACATAATGTCATATCCCAGCTTCCACATTGATGTTTATAGTTCCCTAAATGTAATTTTTCATTGGCAATGGAAAAATTGAGTTAAATTATCTAAATATTATAGAACATATTCAATTTAATATTAGTAGAATAGTTTTTGCATTTGTCAGTATTAAACCCTAATGATGATACTTTATGTCAGACTTATTTCAGAATTAGTGTTTACTTTTAATATTAGGACTAAAAGTAAAGTAAAAAAAGTAAAAGACCCTTTTCTTCTTCTTAAGGCATTTTGGGCATATAGGGTTAGTCCTATATTATATAGACCAATTGGTACTCTGTAGGTGATGTGGTCAACATCACTTCATCTGCTTTTACTTTCCAGGACTTTGCCTGAGACCCATTTAAGGCTGGGTTTAAAAGTATTAAGTGTACATTAATAACTAACTACTCACTTTGAGCTAATATTTATGTTTGTGCTTTTGTTTACATTGCAACAATAGAGGTAACAGTTTAGGATACATCATAATGCAAATACTCATTCTCTGATTTAACTACGTGATGCCTCTTTATAAATGTTTGCTGCTTTTTCTTAAAGCTCACAAAACAAATAATTGCCCTATTTTAATTGTTCACAGCTGGAAGCCAAAGCAACTCAGGTGAAAAGTTTATTTCCAGTTGGTACATGCCAGCATCCAGAATCTCAGAAATCGTCAGGGCAGCAGCCATTGAATCACAGCTTAAACACCGAGTCCCACCTGGACCCCAAACTGGACACCGCCAAATCTAAATATAAAAAAGCATCATCTGAAATAAACATGGCAAAAAATACTTTAAATGATCCGCCCACCACAAAAGCTAGTTCCCCGCTCTCCAAACAAGAAATTAATAGATCTTCTTTAGTCATTCAATCGACTCGCTCCACCTTCTCATTATCTCAGAAAAATGTACACAAGAATGTGGGCTGTCAGCAGCATTTATCTGACAGCAGCATAGAATCGCCGGAGCAAATGATCCAGTTCTTAAACGCCTTGCAGCACTGTCATCATAAGGAGAACAAAAATGAACCAAGTCCAGGTTCAGATCATATTCACACTGACCAAGCTACAAGTTGCCAGACAGACAGCACATCAACAGAAGTCACCTCTAGCAAGAGTGCTGGTAAAATCAGTGATGTGACCAAACAGAATATTCGCTGTGACCAACCACAACAGTTGTCTAATCAACAACAAAAACAGGAGCCAGCTAAATCACAGAATGGGACTGTAACTGTGTCATCTCAGCTTTTAAAAATACGTAACCAGTTTATGACTAATAATAACACTTTGGACTCACATTCTGAGGCTCAGTCTGATGGTCATTTGAATGGGAAGCCAGTACAGAGCAATGCAGTAACAACAAAACTAGTCATGGCGGTAACAGCAGCAGAAGTAAACTCAGGGATATCCCAGAGTTCTTTAATGGTCAGTCCTGGCGCAGAAAGTTGTAGCAAAACATCACAGTCAGCGAGTAGTGGAACAAAGGCAGTTGATCAGGTTAGATGGGTGAAATTTACTGTATGTATTACTTCTTACACTTCTTTTCTTTGTCAGGTTTTATGTGTGAAATTTGCTCTTTTTTCTCTCCACACTTCTCATCTTTGTCAGGTTCGATGTGTGGCATTTGCTTTGTTTTTTCCCCCCAAACTTTTCACTTTCTTCTCATCCTTGTCAGGGTTGATGTTTGTCATTTGCTCTGGTTTTTTTTTTCTCCAAACTTCTCACACTCTCTTCTCATCCTTGTCAGGCTTGATGTATGTCATTTGCTCTGTGTTTTTTCTCTCCAAACTTCTTACACTTTCATCTCATCTCAGAACAAAGACACCATTTGATCAGGTGAAATATTTGATCTTTATTTTTGTATTTCACTTCTCACACTTCTTTTCTTTCTGAGCCATTCAGACTCTTCTCTGTTTTTCTGTTGTCTTTAGCTGCCCTTAATTTACAACACCCTTTCAGTCTGTTTCTGTATTTTACATGTGTCTTCTTCTTTTTACCATCTTGATTTTAAACTCCAGCAGAAAAGTTGTTCACCCACTTCTGGACTTTTCTAGAACTTAAGTTTTTTAATGCACATCCATTTTACATATCTTGTTTATTTGTACGCAGACATTTGGTTTCTTGCCTGTCAGGCAGATGCACTCTGACTTCAAAGGAAAATGTAGTTCTGTCTAAGTTGGGCAGGCCTCCAGCTGGGAACATGTTTCTAGGAGGGCTTCAGAGAGTTGTAGATAGATCTTGACCAGTATGAGCTCTGGCCTTGGTGAACCACAGTGCGTGGTTCAGGAAATCTGCATTCCCTTGATATCAGTGAAGTTTTTATGTGACAAGAACATTGTTTTTTGTGGATTTTTGGGGGGCTGGAGATGTTGCTTTCCTTGAATATTGTGAGCGGTACTGTTTATTTACTTGAGGTTCTTTAGGGCTTGTAATGAGTTTTTGAAAATCTCAGCGGTAAAACATTGTGTAACAGGGCAGCAGTTAAGTCTCACCAGTTTATTCAAGGACACAAATGTGGTATGATTGGTTGGGATTCTGTTTGGTCATTTTGCCCTGATCACGTTCATATGTTGTCCTGTGGCTGGCTGCATTTTCATTCATTGTCCTGTTGTGCCATTATATGTCACATAGTCTTATTTCTCCATTCTGTTTTATCATGTGCAATCACTTTGATATAATGGGTGGAATCCAGTCCAGCACCCTTGGCTTCACTCATCAACATTCACCTTAGGGTTTCTTTTGGACATTGTCGCTTCCTCATTCCCTCTGTTTCCCATTTCATTACCTATTTGGTGATTCTCTTCGTCTCTTCTCAGAATGTGTCCAGTATAGAACCATCTTAACTGTCTCATAACTGTTGATACTAGCAGTTGCCCAGTCATTTCCCTTATTTCTTCCCTGTCTCATAACTGTTGATACCAGCAGTTGCCCAGTCATTTCCCTTATTTCTTCCCTGTCTCATAACTGTTGATACCAGCAGTTGCCCAGTCATTTCCCTTATTTCTTCCCTGTCTCATAACTGTTGATACTAGCAGTTGCCCAGTCATTTCTCTTATTTCTTCCCTGTCTCATAACTGTTGATACCAGCAGTTGCCCAGTCATTTCTCTTATTTCTTCACTGTCTCATAACTGTTGATACCAGCAGTTGCCCAGTCATTTCCCTTATTTCTTCCCTGTCTCATAACTGTTGATACCAGCAGTTGCCCAGTCATTTCCCTTATTTCTTCCCTGTCTCATAACTGTTGATACTAGCAGTTGCCCAGTCATTTCCCTTATTTCTTCTCTGTCTCATAACTGTTGATACCAGCAGTTGCCCAGTCATTTCCCTTATTTCTTCCCTGTCTCATAACTGTTGATACCAGCAGTTGCCCAGTCATTTCCCTTATTTCTTCCCTGTCTCATAACTGTTGATACCAGCAGTTGCCCAGTCATTTCCCTTATTTCTTCCCTGTCTCATAACTGTTGATACCAGCAGTTGCCCAGTCATTACCCTTATTTCTTCCCTGTCTCATAACTGTTGATACTAGCAGTTGCCCAGTCATTTCTCTTATTTCTTCCCTGTCTCATAACTGTTGATACCAGCAGTTGCCCAGTCATTTCCCTTATTTCTTCCCTGTCTCATAACTGTTGATACCAGCAGTTGCCCAGTCATTTCCCTTATTTCTTCCCTGTCTCATAACTGTTGATACCAGCAGTTGCCCAGTCACTTCCCTTATTTCTTCCCTGTCTCATAACTGTTGATACCAGCAGTTGCCCAGTCATTTCCCTTATTTCTTCCCAATAACTGTTGATATAGCAGTTGCCCAGTCATTTCCCTTTTTCTCCCTGTCTCACTGTTGATCAGTTTTCATTTCCCTTAAAAATCCCTGTTCTTGAAACATTTTATGTTCTTTATTTTTGACAGGCATTTGTTTTCAAATGCATTCATCTTTATTTCCATATCTTGATAAAGCCATCACAAAAATAAAACTGAATAATTTGTGCTCAGGAAGTACCCAACATGGATATAACTCCAGATCTTTTTCTTGCACTTTCAGTAAAAAAAAAAAAAATCCTGTCTCAACTGTAGAGGTTGTTGACTGCAGTGAATGTGTAATTCCACTGCTGTCTCTGGGAGTATGATGTAGTGCCTGAAACTTTGAGGATTGTTAAACATCTTCTTCATCGACCTCTAGTCATGTGCTTAATCCACTGTGTGCCGTAAACTGGGATTTCATCTCAGGGTCTCTTAGGTTTCCCCCAAAGCTTTATTGTCAGGTCTACTGGGTGTGGCCACATGTTGCTTCGCAGTTCCTCCAGGAGAGGGCAGCCTTGCAAGATATGTTCGGGAGTCCGTTCAGCACAAAGACACTGGCAGAAAGCTGTTTGGCTTATACCTAATTTAAATGAGTGTTGAGTCTGCTGTGTCCAGTGTGTAAGCGGGAATGTGAAACGTGATCACTAACCTTCATTACAGAACCACACTCACTTTCTGAGCCCATTTTTTGGTGGACAATTGAATAGATCCACTGCCCTCTTACGCGCTTGACTTACAAAGGAACTAATTAAGGATTTTCCTTCAAAGTCGGGGTGCATCTGCCTGATAGCTGTATAGCCGACAGTCTGCATACAAATGAACCAGATCTGTAAACCAGCTGTGCACACAAAAGCCAATTCCTGGAACAAAACCTAATTGTAGAAATGATGAACAACCAGAACCTTCCGCTTTAGTCTACAGCTGGTGAACCACACTTCATGTTAGACAGTAGCTATTTGTGCATAGTTTAGACACTGGGGATATGTGGATGTGTTAGCATCAGGTTGTGATTCATCATAACCCTGAAAGAATTGTCCATATCAGCTAATAATAAAATTATACTCACCGTTTCAGGGCAAAATCAATGGTAAAGCAAAGAAAATCAAGAAAAAGAACCGAAATGGATATGTTAGTGGACTTGGTAAGTTGTAAGACAATTTTAGCCTTTGAGCAGTAGTTTTAAAAAAAAACCATGAGTAAATAAAGGACCTTTATATATATGTGTGTGTGTGTGTGTGTGTGTGTGTGTGTGTATATGTTTGTGTATATATATGTGTGTGTGTGTGTATAAATATATGTGTATATATATATATATATATGTATGTGTATATATGTGTTTATATAAATATATGTGTGTGTGTGTATATATATATATATATATATAAAGTAAAGAGCCCTTTTTACGCCGGTGGAGCATTAGGCATATGATGTTAGACTCTGGTTGGGTGATGTCGTCAGCATCACGGTGACCACCTTTACTTCCTAGGACATTACTTAGTATCCATTTTAGGCTGCATCTACCTTGGAGGCAAGGTCAGTTTTCAAGAAGAAGAAAATCGACCTTCATGGGAATTGAACCTTAGACTTTTAGGTTAGCACATCCAAATTGGGGAAGAAATTGTTGTGGAACTAATTATATTCACTTCCCTGCTCAAGTCTGCTACATTGTAGTTAAGAATTCTTTTGCTTAGGAGATGTGTAAATCTGTTTCTGCAGATGAGGTTTTCATGCCCAAGTCTGAATCAGAGTTGGATGGAGACGTTGATGACTTTGAGCGAGAACTGGAGGAGTTCAAGAGGTATGTGTCAGATTGGGCGTAATACTTCTAGTTAGTAGTCTACAAGAGAAAGCTGTAACTTTTGTTTTACTTGACAAGTGGTTAAGTGCTTGTCATCTCATGTCATACAATTTTAATTGCAGCTCTTAACTGTGTGTCGTTACCCTGTAACATAGGATTCTTTTATAGCTGAATAACTAAATCAAACTTTGCAATGGCTCAGAACAGTGATGGACAGCATGATTTGGATAAGAGAAGCAGGGGCTGACCAGCGTGAAAGTAGTCACATGACATAACAGACACCATGGACACCCCCCCCAACAGTGTCTCATCTGGCATAGGTTGCTAAATTCATTTTTTTTATAGACTGCGCAGCTCTTAATGAGTACATCGGTCGGCATCATGCCTGAGTACATCGGTCGGCATCATGCCTGAGTACATCGGTCGGCATCATGCCGGCGTACATTGGCCAGTATCATGCCTGAGTACATCGGTCTTCTTCTTTGCGTTCACCAGCTGTATACTCTGGTGGAAAGTTATGGTTGTTCGTCCACTTCTGGACTGCAGTCCTGTTCCAGAACCTGAGTGTTGCGTAAGCATACGTTTTACAGATCTGACACATTTGTGTGCAGACTGTTGGTTCCTTGCCTTTCAGGCAGATGCACTCCGACTTCAAAGGAAGCTCCAAATTATTCGACTTTTACGACATGCTTTTGGGTAGGCATTGGGTCTATTCTTGTTTTCCCTATAATAGGGCCCCGGAACCCACACAGGAAGGTTGGCATCATGTCTGAGTACATCGGTCGCATCATGCCTGAGTACATCGGTCGGCATCATGTCTGAGTACATCGGTCGGCATCATGTCTGAGTACATCGGCCGGCATCATGTCTGAGTACATCGGTCGGCATCATGCCTGAGTACATCGGTCGGCATCATGTCTGAGTACATCGGCCGGCATCATACCTGAGTACATCGGTCGGCATCATGCCTGAGTACATCGGTCGGCATCATGTCTGAGTACATCGGTCGCATCATGCCTGAGTACATCGGTCGGCATCATGTCTGAGTACATCGGTCGGCATCATGTCTGAGTACATCGGTCGGCATCATGCCTGAGTACATCGGTCGGCATCATGTCTGAGTACATCGGTCGGCATCATGTCTGAGTACATCGGTCGCATCATGCCTGAGTACATCGGTCGGCATCATGTCTGAGTACATCGGTCGGCATCATGTCTGAGTACATCGGCCGGCATCATGTCTGAGTACATCGGTCGGCATCATGCCTAAGTACATCGGCCGGCATCATGTCTGAGTACATCGGCCGGCATCATGTCTGAGTACATCGGTCGGCATCATGCCTGAGTACATCGGCCGGCATCATGTCTGAGTACATCGGTCGGCATCATGCCTGAGTACATCGGCCGGCATCATGTCTGAGTACATCGGCCGGCATCATGCCTGAGTACATCGGCCGGCATCATGTCTGAGTACATCGGCCGGCATCATGTCTGAGTACATCGGTCGGCATCATGCCTGAGTACATCGGCCGGCATCATGTCTGAGTACATTGGTCGCCATCATGTCTGAGTACATCGGTCGGCATCATGCCTGAGTACATCGGTCGGCATCATGTCTGAGTACATCGGTCGGCATCATGTCTGAGTACATCGGTCGGCATCATGCCTGAGTACATCGGTCGCCATCATACCTAAGTACATTGGTCGGCATCATACCTGCCACCTTTCCTTTCCAAAATATTCTTGGTACCCATTTTAGGCTGTAAGCCAAGGTCAGTTTGTTATCAAAATCTTTTTGGTGCTGATGTGAAGGAAGAAAACATTTGGCCCCGCAAGCGAGCGTCTGGCCACTACACTACCATAGTTCCTGTAACTGTTCCATTGTGTGTCATAAAATTGTTGGGTCTATGGCATACAGAGAAAAATAGTCAATTCAGAGATTACAGTTCCAATAGAACATAACAAGGTTATTAAAACAGGCCTTTAGAAAGAACGTTTCTTCTTCTCAGCATTCTCCTACTGTAAGAAAGTTCTGATTATTCCGCCATTTCTGGGCTTTAGTCTTATTCCAAAACTTGACTTTTTGTGTGTAGACTGTTGGTTCCTCTTGACCATTTAAAAAAATGTTAACAAGCTTATAATTTCTGGAGCAGATTGAATTAAAATGATTTTCTGTGTGGGTTTCTGGGTTTTGAGGGGGTGGGGTGGGGTAGACTCAATGGTCCTTAACAAATCATGTCTAAAAGATGACTAATTAGGGTTTTTTTCTCCAAAGTTTAAGAGCATCTGCCGAAGAAGTGAGGAATCAACAGTCTGCACACAGTAAGCCAGAACTGTAGAATGGGTGTACACACAAAACTCCAAGTTCTGAAATAAGGGCAAGTCCACAAGTAGACGAACAACCAGAACATTCCAGTTGAGTTTACAGCCGATAAATGCACAGAAAAAGAAGAAGAATTAAAATAATCTGCTCACTTTCAGGTCACCTGACTTCCCTCCAAGATTATGTGAGGTTGTCCATTATTGTGCAAATTATTTCTATATTCCAGTAAAAATGGGCATAGATTTACTTAACTCTGTCTCGTACTTTTTTTTTATATACATTAGTATTTACATAATATTCACACTGAATTTGTAATATCTCTTTACTTTTATTTCTTGTTCTAGATTTTGTTTTGAGCCTGCAGAACCAAAGGAAAGAAGGAAAATTGCAGTAAATGTAAATTTGAAGGATATTTTCAAGAAGAAAGCTGCTGTTGTCTGAAGATAGTTTACAGTGTGATAGTGGGAACTGCAGATATGTTGCTGTTATTCAAGAAACAATTATGCAAATGAAGATTTAATTGTGAAATTTGCTGTGTGAAAAACTGATATAAGTAAATAATGTTTATTTTGGCTGTAAAATCGTGAACTAAGTTTTTTTTTTCCTAATGTAAATTTGTTACAGTAAAGCCATTATTGTACAAAAAAGCATTGTCCCTTCATGGGTCAAGTGTTAGCACTTTGAGAGAGATCTGTCAGTGATTTACATCTTATCGTGATAAATTATATGTTACTTATTTATGAATGCTCATAGTTAATTACCAAAGCTCCTTGTGTGGGTTTGGGTCCTATTTTAGAGGAAAAAGAATACCCCCCCCCCCCTTTTTTTTTTCCCCCAAAGGAAAAGAACGTGGGTAGAAAACCATTCAGACCATAAATAGGAAAGTGGAGGACTCTAACACTTCTCATTGCTCTGATTACTGATTTAAGAATCAACATCATAGCACACCGGGCATACCAATAGATGCTGCGTCTCCCACAGCAGATGTCTTAAGGTGTAGATGCTAACTATTACCGTAACACACTGATTGTACACACATTGTTAACTTCCTCTCATAAGTCCCTTCTTGCTGGATCCACTCCTGATTCATCGGTCACACATTCTTGCACGTGTCATTTCATCCAACATTGGATCATACATGGTCTTCAGAATGTCTCCCTTGCCAAGTATGAATGTTCCCTTAGCTATTGCTTTTGTTGCCAAAAAATCCGCTCTTTCATTCCCTCGCACTCCTGCATTTCCAGGACAGTATATCCAGGTCATTCCCTGCAATGTTGGCATATTGATGCTTGGTATCCACTCATGCCACATTTGTCCGTTACAAACCTTTTACAGTACCGACTTAAAAATCAGACACAATAATTCCTCTGCTAACTTTATTTTCTGCTTTCCAAATCATAGCTGCAGTGATTGTCTCCGCCTCCAGCCTCATGCTTGAAGTTGTAGAAACGTAGGCTCCATTTTGTTCTGCCGTAATCTTTCCCTTCATTCTAGCGGAAAATCCCTATCTAGGTCTTACACCCTGATAAACAGAACTATCGTTGTACACATCATCTAGCCCAGCCTTTCCATCTATCAGTTGTTGTACCTTTAATTCTGCCAAACCATTACACCACTCTCTACATTCTCTTCCTAACGTGATAATGACCTGATGGCATTCATGTTGACTCATTCATACTCCCAGTGCCATCAGTAGCTTTCCTTTTTTCAACCAGTCTCCTCTTAAATCTTTCAGATTACCATGCAGTGGACGGCTTTCATCATTGTTAACTCGCATATAGGCCTCGGCCTGCGATAGTGACGGTCTGGACTTTACCGATATCAGCCCAAGCATATACCTCATTTTACTTATTCTTTAGAGATCTCTGGTCATGCGCATAAACCATTGTCAGTCATAAACTGGGATGTCATCTTCAGGTCTCTTAGATTTCCCCAAAGCTTAGCTGTCGGGTCTACTGGGTATTGCCATATGTTGCTCCACAGCTTCGCCAAGAGAGGACCGTCTTGCAAGACATGTTCTGGAGTCTGTTCAGCACAAGTCTGTTCTGCTCACTGTGGAAAGTTCTGTCTGATTGTCCACATCTGGGTTTCAGTCTTGTTCCAAGACTTGAGTTTTGCATGCACATCCATTTTCCAGGTCTGCTTTATTTGTATTTAGACTGTTAGTTCCTTGCCTTTCAGGTGGATGCCCTCCAACTTCGAAGGAATAACCCCTAATTAGTCATGTTTTACAACATGCTTTTGAGTTGAGTAGTGCATATATTGTCTTTTTCTCCAAAATGGTTTGGTCCCCAAGACCCACACGGAGAACATCAGATATTAGGTGATCCAGGGTCGTATCGCTAGTCTACACCTGTAGGCAGCACAATTGAAGTCAATGTAACCACTGTCTTCACTGGGAAGTTCATAGTCTCAGAGATAGAAATTATCCTTGACATTGTCAGAGTCCTCTTCTTCGATCTAAGTTATCTGGAGTGGGTGATTTTCGATATCTTGTTCTTCCTGCCAAACCTGTCCAAAGAGAATTCACTTGTTTTGGGCGTCATCATCACAATTTAAACGTTGATAGCATTTCCTTCTAAATCTACTGTCTGTTCATTTCGTGGGTACACAGCTTGTTTGTCTTGTACATCTTAAGCATGCGCAGTCTGTCCGTTCTCTACATTTTCAGCATATGTCATTTGCTCTTTTAGAGGATATTCCAGCTTGTGCACCGTCTGCTCATTCTGTACCTCTGCCTACACAGTCTGCTTGATGGTGTCATCTGCATACACAGTTTGCTTGATGTTGTCATCTGCCTACACAGTCTGCTTGATGTTGTCATCTGCCTACACAGTCTGCTTGATGTTGTCATCTACCTACACAGTCTGCTTGATGTTGTCATCTGCATACACAGTCTGCTTGATGTTGTCATCTGCCTACACAGTCTGCTTGATGTTGTCATCTGCATACACAGTCTGCTTGATGTTGTCATCTGCATACACAGTCTGCTTGATGTCCTCATCTGCTTTTTTGACAAATTGCTCATTTGGTACATATTGCTCATACTTAACCCTACCATACCTGAGGCTCTGATTCTAACTGTCCCCTATACCTAGGCTCCTGAGCCTTAAAAAAAAAGAAGAAAAAAACCAACATGATATAGAAAAGTGTTAATTACATGCAAACAGGTGGTTAGAATAAGATGGAACTTGGAGACATTGTAGAAAATAGGTCTACCTTTCATCTAGCGCCAATATTCTACCTTTGTGTGTCAATCGGCCCAGCAGGATAAGCCTTGTTTCACACAGAGGTACTTCTTGCAAAGTGAGCACCAGATGTTGCTCTTCACTTTCTTGTAAGACACTCCAGGATTTTGCTTGTTGTGTGTGTGGAGTGTTTTTTTCCATGCACACAACACAAATGTGATTACGATGTCTCAGGGGGAATTTCTGAAAAATGTTTGCCTGGAGTCGTCTGTTGAGGGCAGGGTTACTTTTGTAGGTGGCGTTGGGCTGATGTCCTGTATCCACCAGTAAATTGTAGGCACAGTTTCTGAAGTTTCTGTGGTGAAATAAACTCGCTTTTTTGAAGTCAGTCGGTTTACTCTCTTGTGTGATAGATCTAGGAATGTTCACTTCTCCACATTCCTTGATGAAATTCAGATCTGTAATTTGGTGATACAAAACTCCTTGTCCAGCCCTCACCACCACCCAGATCTTCCCTATCAGCTGTTTGAGGAACATGCTCCCCTTCTCTTACTATCGATCTAGCTCTAGGTCTATAAGGTTCAAGATTCTCCTTATCACTCAGGCTCTCACTGTCTGTGTCACTTGAACTGGAAACGTATTCTTGTTGAAATTCTGACTCCTCAGAGGCTGAATCAACCAAAGTATTGATCACCTGTTGGACTATGAAAAGCCTAGTCCTACTTCGCTTTCCTGTTAAAGTGTTTGGTTCATCAGCCACTAGCTTCCTTGTGAATTTTCATAATTTTTTCGCGTTAAACCACACAAAGTCAAATCAAACACATGGGGGCAGACATTTGCAATATCTAACCATCAGATTTGAGCACGATTGGTTCCAGTTTGTGTCACTTTTTTTTTTTCATGCACTAAAACAATAATAATTTAGATACAGTGGTCTGGTAAGGTTAATTTTCTCACAAGAATCTTTGTCACTCACATCAGATTGCTTATTCAGATCATCTTGTTCATGAACAACCTACTGGTACAAAAATATACTGCTCACAGACAAGGGGGGAAGTCATTGTCATAGATGACTGAGTTGTTCTATATCCGACTTAGGGATGCGTGGCGTGACAGCATCCTAGGCAAAGTTGTCAAATGATCCCGACGTTCATTGCTCTGTTAAAGATACAAAGATCTTTTCACACATTTTTGACCCGTCAAGCATGTGTTCATCTTCTTTTTCTTTTTCTGTGGCGGAAAATTCTATCTGGTCGTCCACATCTAGGCTTCAGTCTTGTTTCAAAACTTGAGTTTTGCATGTACATCCATTTTCTAGATCTGGTTTATTTGTATTCAGACTGTTAGTTCCTTGCCTTTCAGGTAGATGCGCTCTGACTTCAAAGAAATAACCCCTAATTAGATGCCTTTTACAACACGCTTGTTAGGTGGGAGTGTTGTCTTTTTTCTCCAAGAATAGGTCTCCGAGACCCACACAGAGAACATCGGGTATTTAGTGCTGGAGGTATATTTTTGATGGACCAGTTGCAGCTCAGTGGGTGATGTGATCAACAACTTACCAGTCAGATAATCACAAGCTGTTTTGCTTGGAAATGAGGTATATTTGTATCTATTGTAGACATGTAAAATAAAGAACTGTTGAAACTTTCATAACAGAGATTGATAAGAACAGAAACATCCTGCAGTGTTAAGAGAAGCAATGAATAACTTGTCACAGAGTTTTTGGTTTAATTAAAAGCAATAAAGGTTGAAGGTTTACAATAACATTATATGTACACGTCTGACATAGTCTGCATGGCAAATAAAGCTGAGTATGAGAAAACCTATGAATGCCCACACAAGAAGTGATTTATGGTTCCAGTGACTTGTGAGAATCAGGCTGCAGTGTGGATTTATTTGCACCAGGTTTACTAATTGCTTCACGCCTCAAAAAGCTCAGGTGTTCTTATCTTTTGATCATTGTTGACATTTAGTTTTTTATCTTTTAAAGCTATTGTTGGTTGCCCATTCACATCATGCTTGTTTTATTCATGTGAGCTCATCTGCAGATAAATGCAATTTGTTATTTGGTTTCGTTTGTGCCATGGATGGTTATTGAGCCAAGTCATTCATCTTGTTCAGCTCATGTTCAGGAAATCACCACGGGTGAATGTATAACTTGCTTTGTTGGGTGTACGTGTCAGCTCTGTTGCTGATGAATGTATTTGTCCCACACGTAACTCTTGAACATAATTATCAGACAAACACTTTTTT